CCGAAACATCGTCAGCTGGCAGCGTCATCGGTTGAGCCCTGCTCAGGTGCGCGCAACCATGACTATCAAGTCATGGATGATGCAGCACGCGCACGGCAAACTCCCGGTGGCAGTTCAGGGTCGGGGGTCGGGGGAGGTGTGTATTGAGGGCGATGACGAGGGGCTATGAGGGAGGAGGGGCATTGGTCACACTGTGGATTTGCTTAAAGTCTCCTTGGTATGCGACTCCCCAACTCACTTGGGGGGGGCTACTAGATCTCTTCTCTTCGCATTCGTTGTGAGGGTGCACACTCACCCACCCGAGACCTCATGTTGACATGGTAGCCGTGTTTGTTGCATTGGCTGGTTTGCCGGCTTGCACGCTACCTACCACGAACGCTTTCTTGAAGCGAGCTACAAACACACTTGAACACTACTTGGTAGGGTGACATGACATGCATCATGGGAACACATTTTGGTTTTGCTATAAACAAACCCTAGACCAGTTTCCGAGTTAGGGCAGTTATGTCCCAGCAAACACGTGCAAAACAATTACTACATTCCCCTAAATCTCAACAACGCAGTCACAGGTGTTTGAGACGCATTCTCATCAGGTTCTACCATAGAGTAGCATTTACTGCTGAATTTTACAGCCACCTAGTGGCTAAGTTGGTACTTTACGTCAATCCAGCCCACGTACACGTACGCGTAACGTAACGTTACGCATACCTTACGTTACGCGTACGTTACGTGTACGTCCACCGGGCAGGCGTTAAAATTTTTCCCGGGCCAAAATTTGTCCGCGGGAAAAACGCGATCAACATCTCGCGGCAGCTATACTTAAACGCGATCTCCTAGACTACTGCTGAAGGTCTCCCCTCAGTCTGCGACACGCGCCTAATCGTCGCGCTGGTGTGGGGGAGGGGGGTCCTTCCTAGCTAAAGTGGTAGCTTAAGCTTAGACTAGGTTGGCGAGATCCTGTGGGTTAGGATCTACGTGACTGGAGGGGGACGCGATTATTTGTCGAGGGCTGGGTAAGGGTTGGTTGGAAGGGGATGGGCGCGAGCGGTCGGTTGGGTTGACTCGTCGATTTGCCAGCGCGTCAAATTTGACGTGCCGGCACATTGACGAGGTTTCGCACCTCCCTATGCCTTTCGTCGCAATTGCTTCTGTCGGCAGAATTTTGCAGAGTGGTTTGCCAACGCGTCAAATTTGACGCCCACCACTTTCGCCACCCAATCAATCAAGCACACGCACCGCGTAATCAGTTTCGTCGCTCCAGCACCCGTCGGCAAATTTGAGGTGCGACGAAAATGCCTTCTAGTATTTCGACCAATCGCATACTACATGTAGGTTTCGTTGCAACCGGCAGCAACACGTTTCCGCGTACATTCCATTTCGTCCTAGCGCTTTCGCCTAAATTGGTTCGCGGCTCCAGAGACTCTTCCGCACGTCAAATCCAGATTGCTACTTAATTACGACAGATTTCAGTCCGAATCCACAGAACTACCAGCAGCACCAGCACTTACTCATATTTCCAGCCAAAATCAGCTTTGGAATTCAGCTGTCATGGCGAACGTTGATGACCATCCTATTTGGAAGTATTTCAACGTGCCGGAGGGTGGTAAATGCGACTCCACCGTAGACAAGCAGTGCAAGTTTTGCAACCGCATTTGGAAGCTCAATGTAGTGCGCGCACAGAACCATATTCTTGGCATCCGCAATAGCGGCATAATCGCGTGCCCCTCAGATACTGACGAGGCGAAGGAGGAAGTGAAAGCTGCCTTGGCGAAAAAAAGGAGCGATGACGACGAGCGGAAGAAAGCAAGCCAGAGGACTGCAAATGCGTTCGCGCATACCCCTATCGTCAACACGACCACGAACATGCCCGAGAGTAGCGGTGGAGCGCGAAAGCGGCCGGCGACGCAGAGGACGCTCACGGATACGCGTCCCAAGCCGGTGGATGCTGCGAATGCGCAGTTGGCCGTTGCTTCGTTCTTCCACGTTTGTCGCATTCCGCCAAACGTGGCCGAACATGAAGCCTTCAAGACGATGCTGAAGAAGGTGGCAGCTGCGGGACCCGGTTTCTCCCCACCCGGACGTCGACTTATCATGGGTCGCCTGCTTGAGGAGTGCAAATCGAAGACCGAAAACGCCCTCAAGGATGTGAAGGAGTCGTGGAGCGAAATTGGTGTGAGCATCGCGTGCGACGGGTGGACGGATGGCGAAGGCCGACCTCAGCTCAACATCCTGGCGGTGAACTCCGTGCAAGCGTCTTCTTGTTTGGCGTGGACTGCGGCACGGATAAGAAAGGAGCCGACTACATCGCCAAACATTTGAAGACCGCGATTGTGGAGGTCGGCGCAGAGAACGTCGTTGGACTGCTGATGGATGGTGCGAGCGCGAACATCAGCGCTGCCAGCATCGTGGCGCAGGAGTATCCTAAAGTGCAGTGGATTCGTTGTGCCGCACACGCGCTCAGTCTCTTGATGAAAGACATTGGCGAGCTTAACTGGGCCAAACCCACCATCGAGGAGGCGCAACAACTCATATCTACATTGAAAAACGTACAGTGGATCACGGGCCACTTTCGGGAGAAGGACTCGCTGAAAGTGTTGAAGCCTGCAGGCACTCGGTTCGGGACGAACTACATCGCTCTTGAGCGGTTGATTTTGGTGCGTCGCACATTGAAGAAGATGGTGTCGACCAAGGGTGTCAAGGACTACATGAAGGGGAGGCCTAAACTGAGGGTTGCACGGGGTACCATTAAGCGCCCTGGATTCTGGAAGGGCGTTGAACAGGTGGTAGCTGTGCTGAAGCCAATCTACATGATGCTGAGGCAGGTCGACGGCAATCAGGAGGTCATGGGCAAAATGTACGAGATGATGATCGATTTGGAGGAGCAAGTGGAGAAAGCGAGCGTGGGATTGAAGGCAGACGAGCAGCAGGAGGTTGCAGAGATTGTGCGCAACAGGTGGGAGAACGACATCAACTGCCCTCTTTATGTGGTTGGGCGCATTCTTTATCCGCCGAACCAGTACGAGAAGATATTCGGACCGGATCGCGAGTGCACCAAGGTATTCAAACAGTTTGTGCGCGACTACTACAAGGGAGAGACTGTGAAGATGGGGAACGTCCTGTCACCAATGGCGACAGTTGTGGAAACCGAGATTCTGACGTATACCAGGGGTACGGGAGAAATTGGAGAGCAGAAAGCTAAGGACGAATACATCCTTATCAAGGAGGGTCACCTGGATCCTGTGCAGTGGTGGGTTATGAATGGCTCCGATTGCCCTCACTTGATGAAGTTGGCGTGCAAGATTCTCAAGCAGTGCGTGTCGGCGTCCACATGTGAGACGAACTGGGGTGTGTGGGAGTCCATCCACACCGCACGCCGCAACCGCCTCGGCCCTAAGCGTCTTGCGGATTTAGTGTACGTCAGCCACAACTACCACACTGTGAAGAAACTTAATGAGGACTTCGCCAAGAAAATGATGGTGACAGCACTACCAGTGATTCGAGAGGAGCCCAAGGATGGCTATGAGCCACTTGACGAGGATGATGACATCCAAGATGAAGCTTACTTGGACATTTCCACTGTGGATGAGTCTGAGGACGAGCCTGATGACGAGTCTGAGGACGAATCTAGCGATTCAGAGTGATCCGAGTAGGTGTTTTGCTCGGGGGAAACTTGGGTTTTCGCTGTATGCTTGCATAATACTACTATAAAATCTGAGTGAACCATGTTCTTACAAAGTCAGATTTCTACCCTCCCTAAGTTTTTTTCCTAGGGCAGCCAAAAAGTTTTCAGGCTGCCCGTACATGCAGGCCTAAAATCAAAGGCACGTAAACGTACGTAAACGTAGCCGTAAACGTACGTAAAAAATCGTACATGTAAACGTAAGGTACCAACTTAGCCTAGTGGTACCCGGGTAATATTACCCAACTTTAATTAAAAGCGGGTCGGGTATACAAGGTTAAAATCGGTTATGGAAATTCTCGGTTGGAAACTTTCGACGGGAAGTTTCGGCCAGATTTTGAGAATTTCGGGCAAATTTCGTTAGAAGGTGATGTGAAGGATTTTTTCCAGGAATCCTGCCAAATGTTCCACATGCACCACACACAACCATTGTTTGCATTGTAGAGTGCTAGGGAGTACAAAAACACACTTGAATTGAATGTCACTAATCATCGTCCGTGTCCTCGGAGCACTCAAAGCCACTATCGCCATCGCTAATTTCCCAAGGCAACGTCACCTTGGCCTGTCATTGGCGGGCCATAATTGTCAGGCCGCACTTTCCGCTCTCGACTTCCGGAGCCGAGCACTCCTGCCAGACCAAAATTCCGTGTGCTACACCACACCTTTTCCCTTGATATTGTTACGGTGTCAAATTGGAAATCCAACGCAGAGCTGTTTTTCTACACTCGGTGAATGGGAAAACTTCGCTGGAGTGTTTTGCGAGGGATTAAGAAAAAATAAAAATAAAATGTGATTTTGTGGGTAATTGCGCTAAGGCTCAAGTGACTTCATGAGCTTTAAGTGCCTTGAAAGTCCATGAGAATTTGCGAAGATCCATGAGGTGCCATGAGAAAATGTGGGACTGGAAAATTCGTGTGGGAGAATGTGTTGGCGGCGATTACACATGGTACAAGGCGGTTACTTTGGCATAGCTTGAGGTTGGTGATCTACTCGCATTAGCTTTTGGTGGGTACAATAAGTGCTTGCTTGTTTCTGTTCGCATCGCATCTCAATCGTTAATGAATGAAAATGTCTCGTTCAACGTCTTTACGTGTAGAGATTTTTTGCACACGAGTCAATAGGTCATCGGAACGCATTGCAAGGAGATGTTCTGCACATGATTCAGTCGAGTCATCTCACCCCCTCCCCAATGAACAATACCTGTCCTCTCCCCCATCCCCTAGCCCCCCTTTTCTTCGGAAATAACAGGAAAATCCAGGCAATAGTATCCGTCCAATGCCCTTGCACATCCTTGATGTGTTGCCACTACTAATGAATGCAGGAATTTAGCCTCGAACTTCATCTCGCACTCCATCCCAGAGTCCCTTGGCAACCTCAGCAACCTGCAGTATTTGTACGTGCTAATATTGTTACGTGATACATGTGGGTGCCCAAGAACATGGCCTACCCAAGGTGACACCCAAGGAGGAGAGACATAATGCCCGCACTACTTTTTTTCTTTATCACGCTATTGCTCAGCATTTGTGGGGTCCAATCAGTATGAGCCGAAAACAATTCTACTGTAATTTCACGTGGTAAGCGTTGTTTATGCAATACCACTAGACATGGGCAAAATTAGGCTTGAGCAAAACCGGGTAGTTACCCGACCCGACCCGGTTTTGCAATACCCGACCTCGGGTCGGGTATTTTCGGGTCGGGTCCGGGTCGGGTAATATGCCCAGGACCCTTACCCGGACCCGGCCTTAGGGGACGGGTAATACAATACCCGCCTGGCGGGTCCGGGTATACCCGACCGGGTTACCCTGAAAAGGGGGTAATACTACCCGCCACCTACTAGTGGACATCCTAAAGTTGGGCTAGGCTAGGTAGGGTTTCTGAAATCGCGACTCTCAAGTGAGAGACGCGTTTTCTAAAGGGGTCGAATTTTGACCACCCAACTCCATCCCTTTCACCGCACTGAACTCCTCCCCGTCTACAAACTCCAATTTCCAACCAAACTCCCTCCCTTTCAACGCACTGAACTCCTCCCTGTCTACAAACTCCAACATTTCCAACAAAACTCCCTCCCTTTCACCGCATGAACTCCTACCCATCTACAAACTCCAACCTCTTTTCCAACTCCCACCCAACTCCCTCCCTTTCACCGCACTTAACTCCTCCCCATCTACAAACTCCAACTTCTCCTCACAAATGCTCCACTCGTCCCCCCTCACCTCCAAAACTGTTTTGCCGCAAAACCTAAAACACAGCGTGACTTACGCCCATGTCTAGGTGGAATACCCGACCTCGGGTATTATTTACCCCACCGGGTCGGGTACCCGTTACCCGCCACGTCGGGTAGCATTTCGGGTAGCAGGTATTAAATACCCGCCCGGGTAACCCGGACCCGACCCGCCGGGTAATTTTCAGGATTCCTGATACCCGACCCTAGGGTTGAGCATACTACCCGCCCGGGTCGGGTACCCGTTACCCGGATCCGCTTTTAGGGCGGGTCGGGTATCGGAAATCCTGAATATTACCCGGCGAGTCGGGTCCGGGTTACCCGGGCGGGTATTCAATACCCGGTACCTGAAATGCTACCTGACGCGTCGGGTAGCGGTCTACCCGACGGAACCAGCGAGACATTAGACGCGCTGGTAGAGAATTTCATCAAGTTTCTAGGTTACGTGAGCTGCTAGGTCACTTAGAGCATTGTAGATTGGCAGGGGTTGGGTTTCGTAGATACAGATGCATTCAAAGTGGTTGAATTGGGGGGAATTGGTTGGAAGTCAAACCAATCGAATTTCCCCAATCCAATTTGCAACCCAACCTGAATCCAGCCAACCGCACAGCACCACATTGGTTGGAGTTCCAACCAATTGACTCTGGGGGTCAAAGAATCAAACCCCCAGAAACCGCACACAACCCCATCCCAACTAGAAAACCCAACCAACTCCCCACTCAGGCCCCACTCACGACCCACTCACCACACCAGAACTGTTAAGGATTTGGCGCACCTCATACTCCCTCCCGCAACTCACGTTTTTTTAAGCACTATCTAGGTCGTAGGCTTAGTAGCCCAACAGGGTAGAAAAACACGGGTAATACTACCCGCTTTTCAAGGAAACCGGGTCGGGTATACCCGGACCCTCCAGGCGGGTATTAAATTACCCGCCCCCAAATCCCTGGTCGGGGTATTGGTCCTGGGCATGTTACCCGACCCGTACCCGACCCGAAAATACCCGACCTGAAGTCGGGTATAGCAAAACCGGGTCGGGTCGGGTAAATACCCGGTTTTGCTCATGCCTACCCGACCCGCCCTAAAAGCGGATCCGGGTACCGGGTACCCGACCCGGGCGGGTAGTTTGCTCAAGCGTATGCAAAATGCGATTGCGATTTAAATCGCATCGCATTGGGGGGCGATTTAGTTACATGCGATGCGATTTAAAATCGCGTTCTGCGCGCGATAAAAGATAAAATCGCATGCGGTATTGAATTAAATCACCTGATGCGATTTTAAATCACATCGCATTTTAAAACAGAACGAAAAAAAACCTTAAAAAACCAGAGAAAAACCATGGCTGCCAGGAAATTCAATCACGTGCAGTCGTAACCTAGTGTGCAAATAAATAGTGTGGTTTCGTAGTGGGTTTCAGAGTGGGTTTCAGTGCGACATTGCGCGCGATTTGAAAAAAATCGCATGTCGCATTTAAGTCGCGTTTTCCAGCGCGATTAAAATGCGATTAAAATTAAATCGCGCGATAAACAATTCACCGCATCGCGCGATGATTTTTTTTTAAAATAATTTAAATCGCAATCGCAAAAACGCGATTAAATGCGATGCGATGCGATTTTTTTTGCCCATGTCTAAATACCACCTTCTGTGTTCACCCCTCCAGATTCCTTGACCACAACAGTTTAGGAGCCACCATTCCAGACTCCGTCAGCAACCTTGTATATCTCTTGGCACTGTATGTTCCCATCTCGCGTTATCAACGAGCCATGTGTGAGCTTTCGATAAACAGAAAAACCAACCATGGTGAAAGCTGATCCATTGAGATTCAATACAATGGAGTGGAGGCATAAGCAAGGAACCTTAAACCATGAGTTGTAAAAAAAGAAAGAGATGGGATGGGATGATCATCATTGGTTGGAGTCCCCGCCCTTTTACTGCAATATATATATATATATATTTATATTTATTTATTTATTTATAAACATGTCTAGTATTCATGACGAATAAATAAGTCCATTTCCCAATCGCTATTGAATAGGGTGTTTAGGGAAGCTGGTTATCTTACTTGGCTAATGGTCAGGAAAACAATGCATGAAATGTACTTCCGTGCGTGGTGTGGGTTTGTCTGTGCGTGTGTGAGTGCGTGTCGGCATGTCCGTTTGTTCGCGTGTCCATGTGCACGCGCGTCGTGCGTATGTCCGTGTGTGGAGGCACGTTTCATTGTAGTGATGTCAGCCAAAACAAACTCACTGGCCAGCTCCCCCCATCAATGGGCAGCCTTACCCGTCTCTCTGAACTGTAAGTCTATTTTAGGGGTGTTGCGATTGGAGCATATCCTAGCCTAGCTCTTCCACTCTAACCCTTTCCCGATGGCAACCCCGGGGTGCAATCGTCGCGTTATGAAAAAATGAAACCTCAATCATTTCTTCAAACAGTGTCATCAACAACCCCTTTGCACACGCAGGAACATATCAGGCACTGCAATAACATGCCCACCTGATTACAGCGGCTGTGTGGTCGCACAGAATGCTTCTAGCGCTTTTTGCACACAATGCCGCTCCTTCTGCACCACATGTGGTAAGGCAGCAACGCACAACCATTGTCCTAGTATACAGATGGTTTGCCTCTTCTTAAAAAACTTTCACCATTCACGTCCCTCCCTTCCTCTCTCATTTCCCTCCTCCCCCGTCCTGATGAAATCTAGTCGAGCTGGGAGTTGTGAAGGATGCGAGTAAGAGTAGAAGGAAGGAATGCGAGAGAAAGTCTCCTCAACTAGGTTGGAGGGCCAACCCTCCAGAGTTGGAGTTGGTTGCATAACCAACCCAACAAAGCTGGAGAGAGGCAAATTCACCTAGTGGGGCTTGTTGGCCAACTTTGTTGATTTGGGCTTAGACATGAGCAAACGAGGCGAGTAAGAACTCGCCTTGCCTACTCGCCTCGGATTTGTCGAGTAACGAGGGTTTCTTTTTACGAATTTACTCGGCGCGTATTACTCGCCTCGCCTCGCCTAGTAAAAATTATTCGTTTTTTACTCGTCCTTTTTGGGCGAGTAATGTGTACTCGCGAGTAAACACTACTCGCCTCGAGTAGTTATTACTCGTGCCATTTGTACCAGCGCGACCCGCGCCTGGGTGGGACAAATGTCAAAGGATTGACTTGGCTGATCCTTTCTCTTCAAATCAGCCAAGCTTAGTACTTTCGTCCTACGGCCTTCTATGGCCCTTGAGAGCGCTAGGGAGAAAACGTAACAGTGGTTTTGTGTTTAAGTTAAATTCGTCACCCCACCCTAAGAAACGCACAAAGGGGGATCGATTCTGCCCCTAACCCTGGCCTCCATACCTCCTAGTCTGCGGATCCACCTCCTAGTCCGCGGATGTACCACCTATGTGGTTGCCTTGTTTGAGCATAGGTGGCTACTAAGGGGCTATGACCATAGACATAGAGCCAGGGGACTAGCGGCTTATGGGAAGTGTGGCGTTAAAGCCCGCAGTCTGTATTGTCCAAGAAGGGGGGTTTGTTAAACACTTGAAGCGGTGTAGCGAACTTTTTACTAGGGGCGCAGAGGTTGGCGAAAACAATTTGGGGTTTGCTATCCAACCAAAATCCCCCCCCGGTTCGACTGCTTAACTTTTGGACAATCTGGACCTAGGGCTTTAATGGTGGGGGTGCGGGGGCTATCCATCAGCGGGGTGCTGGTGGATAAGCACTGGATGAACAGGGGTGTGACTACGATGGGGGGGGTATATAGTCTAGGAGTGGGGAGATCCGATTTTGAGGGCATGGCACGTGAGTGGGAGCACACTGGGGGGGGGAGATACCAGGGCGAGGCGACTATTGCTCGCCTCAGGACGAGTATTTTTTACTCGCCCGGAGTAAAAAACTACTCGGCCTTGAAGGGCGAGTAACGAGGGGGGGGGTTCGTCAAAATTACTCGACCGAGTATTACTCGCCTCGCCCCAAAGCAAGGCAAGTATAGCTCTAGGCAAGGCAAGTATTACTCGCCTCACCTTTTGCTCATGTCTATTTGGGCTCATCAAGTGTTGCTTGGGTTTGAAAACCAGCAAAAGTTGGTTGATCAAACAAGTTTGGTTAAAGCCCGAGTTCCAAATTGCCTGGACTGACGACCAAATCTATTAGGTATGAAAGCCCCTGAAATTGATGGGCTGGGAAAAAGTGTTGTGAAAATCGTCGGCCAGGATCGCCACCCCCAATTTTCTGAAACTCGACACTTCGCCTGCGTTTTCCCAGCTTCGCGCCGCTCGCCAACCAACCCTCCCACACAACGCAAAACAACCCCGCTGTCCAGGTAGAACCAAACCTAATAGGTTGATTAACTTGGTACTTGGGCTTTAAGGTGGATTAAGTTTTGCTACTACGGTGGCTGCTGCTGCTGTGGAGGGTGCTGCCCGAACCCCTGCTGCTGCAGCTGACCCAGGATCCCGTGCTGCTGCTCCTAGCCAAGTGGTCCGTGCTGCTGCTCCTAGCCAAGTGGTCCGTGCTGCTGGAGCGGGCGGAAAAGGTGCTGCTGCGGCAGACTCTTATGCTGCGGGCGGATAAGATGCTGCACCCACTACAGGAGTCGAGCGGACAGGCACTGTGCCAGAGCCTGGTGAAATTGAACAGAGAAGGGCTGCTTGGCAGGCCGTGGCCAAGCGGGGGTGGCGGTGGTGCTGTGAGCAAACCAGATGGAAGCAGGTGTCGCTGGAGTGGGTAATTTGACCGCAGTGCTAGCCCGTGGTGGGGCCATAACGGACAAGGTACATACTTGGAGGAAAGGCGCCAAGGCGACCACTACTTCCACGACCGGCACTGCCCCCATCCCCCGTATCAATGGGAGTAGAGTTGGTCGTCATGGTTATTGCGGGAGATGCCAGTGATGCTGCTGGCGCGAAGGCGGGCACGGAGGGCGGGCGGGGAGGGCGGAGGTGGGCGGGCGCCGAGGGCGGGCGGGGAGGGCGCGGCTGGGGCGGAGGTGGGCGTGGCTGGCGCGCGGTGACGGCTTACAGAGTGTGAGGACGTGCGGAGGAGAGGAGTGCGAGAACAGGAAAGTGGCTGAGGATCAAGGGCATACGCCATAGGCTCTAGGTACCATAGAAGAAACCTAGTCGAGCTAGGAGTTGTAAGAGGGAAATAACTTTGGAATTATGAAAGATGAGGGTACAAGTTGAAGATGGGAAGAGTTGGAAGAGAAAGCCTCTAGTTGGAGAGCCAACTCTCCAGAACCAACCCAACCAAGTTGGAGAGCGGCTAATTAGCCTATTGGAGCAAGTTGGCCCTTGACCAGCTTTGCTGAGTTCGACTCAACAAGTATTGGTTGGATTTAGAACCCAACCAAAGCTGGTTGACCAAACTACCTTTGGTTGGGTTGGGAGCCCAACAAAAGTTGGTTGAGAACTCGACCAAAGTTGGTTGGCTAACCAGCTCTAGTTGGGTTGGTTTCTACTCTTACGGTGAACCAACCCAACCAGGAGTATTGAGGTCACCCTAAGTAGGGTAAACAACACAGCACACTCTACACACTGGAGCAGACATGATATTCTTCAGCAACCCCCTCCTGTCTCTCCTCTCCTGCCTCTCGTGTTGCTTCCTCCGTGTCTAAGCCAACCCATGATTAGTCTTCTCCTGTTTTCTTGTGTGAAATCCGTCACCAATCACGTCCCTTCCCTCCCGTTCTCCCCCAAACTCTCCCTTCTCTCGTCTCCTCCCTTCCTCCACACCTGGGTCGTTCCAAAGGGAAGAAACATCTGTAATCAACAAGCCACTTATTTCTTTACATTCTCTTAACAGGACTATTCGTAGCCTCCTCAAAAATGACTTTTTTGCTTTCTATAGTGGCAGTTCCTCATCTACTTTCTGTGATGATTCCCCCCTCGCATGCCGCTTTCCCAAACTCCAGGCTCTTCCGAGTCTGGAGGCGGCCTGTCAGTAGGCGCCATAGCTGGCATTGCTACTGGTGTCGGCGTGCTTGTCCTTGTCCTTCTGCTGCTGGGGCTGTTGCTGTGCAAGCGGTGGCGCACCAAAGGGACAGCAGCAAGAGGAGATGCCGAAATTGCACACCAAGGCAAGACATTTCCAATGCATACTGTGCTTTGCTCCCCACTGCACACACCCTCTACTCGTACTATCCTTGCGTTCTCTCTCTCTCTCTCTCTTCCTCAAATTTTCCTCTTCACCTCTGAACTTCTAGGCATAGTTTTAGCAAGCAGCAACTTCTCAGAGCCGTTGAGGGAGCTCTAGTGTAGCTATTGGTCTTTGACCCAGAGGTCACCCTGGCTACCCCGCCAGTTGCCTTGGAGACTTTAGGTCAGACAGCTAAGTGCATTCATGTTCTTTTGCAGACACACGCACTGAGAACAAGGAGCCAGAAGCAGGATGGGCGGCAGTATCAGCAGCAGAAGCAGCTGGTGGTGGTGGTGTGGGACAGGATATGGAGGCACGGCCAGATGTGTGTCAAGAATACTCCCTGGCTGAGATGGCAGAGGCAACATCGGATTGGGCAGAGGAGAACATAATTGGCAGCGGCAGCTTCGGGGATGTGTACAAGGGGGTGTGTCCCTATGACTGCAATCAAACCTGGGCAGTCAAGCGTGCTCGAGTGCTCACTAATGACTTCCACACTGAGGTATCATGTGGTGAAATTCTCTGCATTTATTTCACATTCCAAAGGACTTTGTTGACTGAATGTCCCTTACCCTTCCGTCTTGTCACCACCCATTTTTCACTGCTGGTGGATCCAGATGAAGGAGATGGCAAGCAAGCACCACCCTCATCTTGTACGGCTGTTGGGCTACTGCATTGACTTCGACCCGTCCTCACGAAAGATGGAGCAGGTTCTAGTATACGAGCTCATGCAGAACAACAATCTCGAGACCTGGATTGGACCCGATGTCTCCAATCCCCTTTCTCTGCAGCAGCGCCTGGATATACTGATCGGAGTGGCAAGGGGGCTGCAGTACCTGCATGACTTTGGCATTGTGCATCGCGACATCAAGCCAGCCAACATTCTCCTAGATGCAAGGATGCAGGCATGTTCACAATTGTGAAACGCTTTGGCATATGCAGGCATGGCATGGCAGCCGGTGACTCTCCTCCCCTTGTCCATCCTCCAAAAAGTCATCCCTACATTGTGGGGATTGCAAAAGTACCTCATATTCTTTAAGCAACCAGCCATGAGTTACCCTATGCACTCCTCATTCTGTGATAGTGCTCTTGTGATTGGTGGGCAGGCCAAGATTGCAGACTTTGGGCTTGTGAAGCTGAGTGGAGGCACTTCCATGGACACCTCATCTTTGGCTGCCACTCGAGTGATGGGCACACCGGGCTATGTGGACCCCGCCTACTACATGTCTCACAAAGCTACTCCTGCTGCAGATGTGCACAGGTGAGCAGATGTGCACGAGAATTCCATCCCAACAAGCAAGAGGCATGCACTAGTGACAATTCTGCATCGTCTTGGCAAGTTTTTCACAATGCTTTCACCGTTACTTTGAGGCAATTCAGCCCTGGATTGGCATATTAATCCGAATCAAAGGTTTCCTTGTTCTACTGTGGTGATGCTCGGCCATTTCGGATGGGCGATTAGAACGAAAGTGGTTGTGAAAAGAGTGTTAATATAATCTGATGGACGAGATGCCATTAGTTTTACCAAAGTGATCATTGGGGTGTGCGTTCATGAGCATCATTCATCATGTCCTTATTTGGTTGCTTGTTTTTTCAGCTTTGGCATGGTGATGCTGGTTATCATCACAGCTCGCAAGGCGGTTCATGTAACAGGGGACACCCAGATCAACCTGAAGCAATGGGTGAGATACAACACACATTTTTTCCTGTGGGATTCAATGTAACAAACATGTGTGGCATTGAAGCTTTGTTTTGCTAAAACCGAGCTTCCCTCTTGGCCACTCTATAAGAAAATCCTCCCTGTGGCATTTCCGTCCAAATTACAGGTGGCTCCACTCATAACATCCAATGCAGTGACGGCACTCAAGGACCCTCACTTGGACGCAACGGATGATCTCGTGCTGCGCTTGGCCCGCCTTGCCCTCTCCTGCACTGCCATGCCCAGTGCCTCCCGCCCCGCCATGAGCCAAGTGCTGGTAGAGCTGGGGAAGGTGAGGGAGGAGGTTTTGGGAGCACAGGCGAACAGGGCTGCAACTCGTATTGACGATGAAATTGACACCTCAGGTCGTGAGGACTTTGATGCTGAGATAGCCCGTGCAAAAAACATGGGCGTGTCATCTGGTTCATCCAAAAGTGCGTAGAGCAATGCTGTTTCATTGAACTAAAATACTATGACTTCTTGAGACCTATGGTACCGTATTCCCCCCGTTTATAACACCCTAGGGTATTGTCAAAATTTCATTAAAAAAAAACGTATGGGTAGGCTGGAAAAACATAACACCCATGTCTTATGTAAGATGCAAAATGAATTTGGGTTGTAACACGCACTCTGAGGCCAGAACTTCACCGAGCATCTGCTAACGAGGAATCTGCTACAGAGGTTGTGTACTCTGACAGGGTCAGTTTGGTGCCTCTGAAAACGGTGGGAGATTGATGCTGCAGCAGTGCCAGGTGTCATTGACCAACCTCGTATGAGTGTTGTGAACAGAGTCACGACCATTGCTGACGCGATCGAGGTGGTTCAACAGCGAGATGGACGGTCGAGATCCTCTCCACACTTTTTGTCTTTCGATTTCATGTTGCCACTTGTTGGAAATATCTCAAGGACTTAAGCGTTTCTGAAGTGTAACACTGTACTCGAGGAAGATTACAGGGGAGCACGCGAGTCAACGGAGGTTACACGAGGGGGCGGACAAAGAATGCGAAAGGACTCGAAAGGTCGCAACTGGAGGTTGCGACTGACCGTTACAACATCACGGATGGTAACCGAAGCGGCAATCGAGTCGCTGTGCGACTCGATAAACCGTTCCTGTAACTGTATTCTACAACTGCTTTCTTATCTTCTATATATTGCTGTATGCTTGTTTCTTTAATCAATCACTTGTTCTCACATACTAGTACAAGGGTTCAACTGCCTCAACTTCCGCTGCACTACTCCAAGTCTCAAGTCTCTACAGCTGGGACTTAGTCTCTGCAAAAGATCCTAAGGGTTTTTTTCAGCCCAACATGGTATGAGAGCTGGTCAGAGACCAAACTCCCAGCAACTACGTCCTATCAACAACCTGCAACTCAACTCAATTCAACGACTTCATTGATTACAAGACATGGACAACAAGGGCAAGAAAGTCTCTACGGGCTCACCCAGCGCCCAAGAAACTCAACACGGCAACTCTGGTCTGCACACCTCAGGACTGCAGACAGAGACCGGGACTGCTCAAGAAACAACGGGAAGAGTACCAGAGATGGTGACCCCGTCTCCCTCTTCAAGTGTGGACCCGAATCTCATGGAGAGATTCTTCAGCTTCATGTCACACTTCGATCAGCAGCAGCAGACAAGGACACCTGCGCACTCAACACAGAGCAATGGAGGGAATATGGGATTAGCGCCGATGAGCCTCGACAACTCATCCTTCGGGCGACACAATCAAGCGCCTACCTTTGCGCCTTATCATTCTTCGCCGGGGACGTTCGAATTCATGCCGCCCCGTGCCCAGCCAACAGCAGCTGCTTCACAACAAACACCGAATGAAATCTTAAGTTTACAGGCGCAGTTCTCACACGTGATCAAACTTCAGACATCCTCACCGTTCAACGGACACGACTTCTTTACCTGGAGCTTCGAGTTCGAGCTGCTGATGGAGGCCGCGCATCTTCTGGGATACTTCAACGGGTCCCTGCCATTCCCAAGCAACGGCACTGGGAAGGAACAAGAAATCTTCACGTATCAGTCGCTGCTGGCGTATACGGTACTCCTGAGAAACCTGTCACCACAAGAGCAGCAGAGCATCAGAACGTATCGAAGTTATGGAAACTCCGCGGAACTCGCATGGCATCATCTCAAGTGCCTCTATCAAGCAAACGACAGCGTGACACAAAGCAGACTCATGCAACAGCTGACAACAATACAGATGAAGACCGGGGAAAAGGCGATGCAGTATATGAGTCGCTGCCAGACCCTCCGCGACCGCCTGCTTCGGTGCGGAGGAACGATCACTGAAGAAAGCTTCGTGACACTTGTCCTCGCCGGGCTCGGGCCAGAATGGAGAACCACACGATCACTTCTTCGAGCCCACGGAAGAATTTCGGAGATGCACCTCTGCGCCGAGCTTCACGCTGAACAACAGGAGATGGATCTGTTCGAGGAAAGACAACCAAGGAAGCAACAGCAGTTAGTCTTCTACACTCAAAGAAGAAATGACAACAACTACAACCGACGCAGCAAGCAAGATCAACGTGACAACCGAGGACTCACCATCGTGCCGCCGTTCTGCCACAACTGTCAGACTTCCGGGCACTCCAAGGTCAACTGCAACCGCCCTCGCGTTTACCGTGCAGCAGACCCACAAGTCGCTTCCACTCAAGCAAGTCCTCCAAGGCGCTCTTCAACATCTGCACAACAAACACCCAACATCATCAACTGCATGGTACACATCGACAACTGCGCACCCGCTTCACCACCCACTTACGCACCAGACGAAGAGGAATTCCCGCCGCCGCGCTCGCAAGGACTTCAGGTCAACCCGACATACGCTGCAGTCGCTAACGCCGAACCCACCGGGCGGAACACCTGGTTCTTGGACAGTTGCTGCGGTCAGCACATGTGCTCCTCCGGACGCTTCGTACAACACGAGCGACGCCTCAACCGTGACGTCGTCATCACCGTCGCCAACAACGAAAACCTGAAAACAAATAGACAAGGCGTGGTTCAGTTACAATCAATGGAGACAAACGTTATTCTTCAGCTCAACAAGGTCCTCATCGTCGACAATCTGGGATACAACCTATTAAGCGTAAGCCAACTAATGGCTAAGGGGATTCACCTGGAGTGCGACTCCTTCTCCAACGAGTTCCGACTTTACCACGGGAAGGGCGGTCTCTTCATCGGTCGTGCCCTCCTGAAGTCCGGTGTCTTCGTGTTGGACTTCGTCCCCGACCGCGGAACTGCCGACAGCGATGGCATCGTATCGTTCGCCGCCTGGACTCACCCACCAGATCTTGATCCCGACTTCGACAGTGACGGCTTCTGGCACTCCAACACCATACCTGCAGCAGAGAGAACACGGGCATTAGCAGTTATCAGACAAGAAAGACAAGTACCAGCAAGCGTCCCAACAAAACCATCACCTGCAGTATCGGCAGCATGACCCAGCCGAGTACCACCACCAGCGACACGAGGACAGCCAACCGAAGCAGACCAACTTATGCCCGCCACACGAGAAGCTTGTCGAAGTCCCGCCTCGGTCGTCGCGTTCTTCTCCAACGCCGACATCTACCACCGCTCGCCCGGTCACCGCGCTCCCGACGACATCTGGCACCAACGTCTCGGACATCCTGCAAACAGCACGATACTTCAAACAATCCAAGCAGAAGTGTTAGAACGCAACGCCCTTCTGACGACGAGCGGCCAGGAACTCCGACGACCACGCGCACGATGCTTCACGTGCCCCGAAGCAGATCTTCCTCATCAACCTTTCCCAGCCCATCACAATCCAAGCGCACCCACTTACGCTCCGATGGAAAAGGTCTACAGCGATATTCTAAACATGCCTCGAGACGACACCGAAGCCGACTTCAACTACGTCATCACGTTCATCGACGCCGCAACCAGATACGTCTGGCACTTCAATCTCAAAACGCGCGATCAAGCCTTCGAGGCCTTCACCACATGGCTTCCAATCGCCGAACGAGAGTCAGGAACCAAACTCAAGAGTTTCCAGTCAGACGGTGCACTGGAATACCAGTCACAACGCTTCAGGACCTATCTCGCGGAAAGGGGAATCCGACGCCTGGTGTCTCTGCCCTATGCTCACCAGCAGCAGGGGGTAGCAGAACGCATGAACCGGACCTTGCAGACGACGATGCGAAAACTGCTTCTGGGGATGAGGCTGCCCAACGCACTGTGGCCAGACGCGATGACACATGCAGTCCACCTGCACAACCTGTTGTCCTCGTCATCGCTCCCCAACAACGCATCACCACACCTGCTGTGGACGGGAAAAAGGGGCAGCACAAAATTACTTCGAGTTTTCGGCTGCATGGTACAATACAGACCCCACACAGCTCGAGCAGGACGCTTCACTCAACGAGCTCGGTGGGGACTACACCTCGGCATCGCCAAACATTTTCACGCGTGGAAGATTCTCGACATACACGACAAAAATACGGTGGCATCACGTGATGTTATCTTCTACGAGCGACTGACGCTGCAGCATTACCTGGACAACATTGCCAACTCAGACGACCCCACCGACGGCTTCGCGGGCCTTCGCTCCTTCGCTGACCATGCTGCCGAGGCTGACGCAGCAGAAGAAGACGTCCCTGGAGCCTCGGAGGCTGCCGGACCACTCCCCTACTGCTCCGTACCTGTTCCACTCGATGAAGATAATCCCCTCGATAGCAACAACCTCGACACCTTTTACCACTTCGCTGACCAAGGCTACGCTACACCACACCCCGTCGACTCGAATATTTCCGAACGCATCGGGCCAAACTTCTTACCCGATCCTGAAGACGGTGATGAAGCAGCTTATCCCGAGAATGAAAACTCCCCTCGACACACAGCCACGGGACTGCAGATCCTAGGACTATGGGTCTCCGTCCAGCACCCGCCGCCGCCTTCTCCGCGCGAGCCGTCGACCCTGTCGCAGGCTCTGGGGGGGGAACATAAGGCACAATGGAAGGAAGCGATGGAAAAAGAGTTAAAAGCTCTGCAAGACCGAGAAACATGGAAACTGGTACCTGCAACGAGCATCAACGGGAAGAACATTCTCTCGGGGAAATGGGTGTACCGCATCAAGACCAACTCAGACGGCTCCATCGAACGATTCAAAGCTCGATGGGTCGTACGAGGCTTCGATCAACGATACGGAACCGACTACACAGAAACCTTCGCTCCAGTCTCCCGTCACACCTCTCTGCGCATCCTACTCGCCATCGCGGCCACGAAGAAACTACCACTACGGCAAATCGACGTTGCAAACGCCTTCTTGTACGCACCTGTGGACGCCGAAATCTCCTTCGAACAACCCCACGGATTCATCGACGACCCTTCAAAAGTATGCCAGCTGGAAAAATCCCTTTACGGGATCAAGCAAGCCCCACGGCTCTGGCAGCAGCACCTTCACGGCCGGCTCGTAAAAATCGGATTCCTACAGCTACCACATGACCAAGGCATGTACCGACTACAGAAGGGAAGAGATTACATTCTGCTCATCGCCTACGTCGACGACCTGCTCTACATCGGTTCTACCACCGACATCGTCACCTGGTTCGAAGGGGAGCTGAAAAGGGACCTGACGCTCACGGTGTCCGACGAAGTTACCCAGTACCTAGGACTAAACATCGTCGAAGACGACACGGCGTTCTACCTACACGCTGGAAAGTACTCAAGCACCGTCGCGAAGAAATTCGGTCTAGCACCGACTGCGGTCCCAACTCCCTACCGCTATGGGAACAACAGTAGCGCCTCCACAAAACTCCCCGCGAAACAAATCCAGGAGTATCAACAGAAGCTCGGCTGCCTACTATTCGCAGCAGTAACCTGCCGACCCGACCTATCCTATAGTGCGAGTCAGCTGGCGACACATCTGAAGCAGCCGCAACAGGAAGATCTCGAAGAACTCAATCGAGCGCTACTCTACTTCGTCTCCACGCCGACGATCGGGCTCACCTACAGCAAGGCAACAACACCGTCCGTACAACTACTCGGATACGTCGACGCCGACCACGCGGGAGACAGCGAAAATCGACGGTCTAGGACGGGCTACATCTACCGACTAGAACCTATCGGAACTATCTCCTGGCAGTCGAGCAAGCAGGAGTTAATCGCACTATCCTCGGCTGAAGCAGAGTATATCGCCCTTTGTACTGCGACCAAGGAAGGACTCTACCTACGAGAGTTACTCGAAGAAGCGAAGATCGCGACCCTGCCCGCCTTCTCACTCCTCTGCGACAACCAATCTGCGATCAAAATCGCGAACAAGGACGGCTTCGCCAACCGAACCAAGCACATCGCCCTGCGGTACTTCTTCGTCAAGGATGAAATCGCGAAGGGGAGACTTCAACTCAGTTACTGCCCGACGACAGAAATGGCCTCAGATTATCTGACAAAGAAATTGGCGAAAGCAAAATTCGACTACTGCATGCTCCTAACCGGGCAAACAAACGTCACCGGATCTGAACACTCCAGCACTCCAGAAACGAAGGGGAGTGTTGGAAATATCTCAAGGACTTAAGCGTTTCTGAAGTGTAACACTGTACTCGAGGAAGATTACAGGGGAGCACGCGAGTCAACGGAGGTTACACGAGGGGGCGGACAAAGAATGCGAAAGGACTCGAAAGGTCGCAACTGGAGGTTGCGACTGACCGTTACAACATCACGGATGGTAACCGAAGCGGCAATCGAGTCGCTGTGCGACTCGATAAACCGTTCCTGTAACTGTATTCTACAACTGCTTTCTTATCTTCTATATATTGCTGTATGCTTGTTTCTTTAATCAATCACTTGTTCTCACATACTAGTACAAGGGTTCAACTGCCTCAACTTCCGCTGCACTACTCCAAGTCTCAAGTCTCTACAGCTGGGACTTAGTCTCTGCAAAAGATCCTAAGGGTTTTTTTCAGCCCAACACCACTTGTATTGATTCTTCTGCCCGTCTTTGCGCTGCGAATGGCAGCTGACGCGATTTTCATCGTGTTCGTTTTTTTGCAGCTGAGCGAACCTTGGTAACGAAGGACCGAATACTATTTAAAGGCAAGAAAAACGTGCAGGGTGTTGTGTAAAATGCAAACCCAGAAAAGCAGGTACTCTCAAGCTATCCCCCGCATAAGCCACCCATGGGCTGACTATTTCGGCGGGTCTTATATAGGGGGGATTACGGTATTTGTACTACAATAGCTATCGCGACAGTTATAGACAATTATCGTAGTTTCTCATATGCAAGTGGCTCTAGCAAGGCTTTGTTCATTCTTGGTGTGGCAAGATAACCTAAATCGGTTAGTGTTCGTCGACGGCAGGCCCCTAGATATCAGCCTTTTTACGCTGATTCAGCCTTTTTTCAGGGGTTTCCGATGTACCAATGCTGAATGGCTGGGCTTTTTCTCGCAGTGGATGCTGAAAAATCAGCTTTTTAATTATGTTGATGTCTGTTATTTCAGTGCTTTTGATAAGGTGTGCACTGATGCGTCAGCGAACATTAGGGGGGGACTCTGAAACCGAGTACATCGAGATTTCCCTCCCCTCTCCCCCCCCCTCCCCCCCCTCCCCCAACCTCCTTCCCCCCCCCCCCCCCCTACCCGCTCCCTCCGTGTGTACCTTGTCAGTCATGGTCCCCCGCGCAACCCCAACAAGTTTGTCCTCTGCGTCCGGTCACATCAGTACTCTTCCCTCCAAAACCCATTTGATTTTGCCGAAGTCCTCCGGTACCACTCACATCACACTCATACCAGCCGAAAATGACATAGAATTGTCTAAGTGGTCCGCACCAGTCATTTCCCAGCTACGCGAACTGCGACAATTTCTCTCGACTTTGCCCTCCAGATCTTCTCGTGTCGAAGATCCCGGCCAATCTCCTCGTCTTAGAGACCCAGACAGGCAAATGCAACCCCTAAAATATCTTCACTTTCTCGGTACTACTCCTGAACAAACTACAAAACCAGCTCATTGATAGGAAAACCCAACCACGTTCCTCCAACAATCCCCACAGCCCACGAAACGTGGCGAAAACATTCCCAGTGAGGCACGTGTCCCTTCCACTCCCACACAAGCTGCGATTAAAGCGTGGAGCCTAGGATTGCGCAATCTGACCGGGTTGCGCAGACCGGCCTAGTTACGCGTTTTGCCAACGTCTCAACGTTTTTTCGCCAAACTTTCTCCTGGCAAACAATCGCCAAAACCGCAACCAGTTGCGCGATTCTGGCATGTGCAACCCTAGGATCCACGCCCTTAGCCCCCTCCAACAATCACGCTAGGGCCACACAATCACTTGCGCACCTCAATTGCACCAGCCAAACATTAACCTCCTTAGTGAAAGTCAGCGATAATTCTGAAGGACCAATCAAAATCTACTTCAGCCATATTCATCTCAATGTTTGGGCATCTCAAAAGTTACGTTGGGGTTTCGTTGGCGTTACCTGCGCGTAACGTGACAGAAGAGACCCAGGGGAGACTGGAAAGGATACGTTCAGAACCGGATCGCACAGCCCCGCGCCTCGAATGAATTCCCCGTTTCTTGGAGCCAGTCGCGGGGCCTCGGAATCTCAGGTTCGGGCTTAGATTCATTGGTCCGAAATGTCTGACGTCGCGCGAAATTGATTGCCTGCGATTGGTTCGTGTTTTGGGCGAATATCGAGATGAACACTAGATCAGATAATTACACTGTCATGTTGCGCACTGATACGTCCGATCTGGCATGAGTGTCGTTTGTGACAATACCCATGGTTTCATAGAATCCCAATAGTATTGATGAGTATATATTGTAGAGGACGGTGTATACATTTCTTATAGAATATTTTCAAACCGCAAACCCTACGCTTGGCTTTTAATAGCTAGAAAATATTTGCATCCACCTCTCACGTGCACTATCAATATGGGACAAAAGTCAGATGGTTGAGAATGTAACTTAAAACGTGCCTATAACAACTAAACAGTATAGTTTTAACGCTACGAGAAACTCATGGCGCTACACCCTCCTGATAGCCCCTGGGGTCAGATGCCCCAGCCCATCAGCACTTATGAAGACAACCTGGCTGCCCGAAAATGCCCAGGCATTGTACTGGGTCACCCACATCGGGCGACCCAACTGAGGCGCACGCCAGATGGACGCCTCTGCCCAACGCAGGACGTTGTCCAAGTAGACGTCCAACTCCCGCTGATTATCAGCGGTGCTGTGCGAGAGATTCAAGGCTTCGGGTTGGAGCCTGTGCTCCACCTGAAGGCACAAAAAAATAGGGCAGAGTTAAGTACGGGACAGCTGATCGACCACTGAGCAGAAAGTGCAAACTGCCACTTAAAAGCTTACCCCGTACAGCCAGAATGCAAGGAGCTCGAGGGGCAGAATGATGGTGCTGGATCCGGGACGAGTGAAAAAATTGATTATGGCTTGGATGAAGACGTCGTTCGCCCAAGGGATGGCGTCTTCATCAGTGTGCCAAGTGAGCATGGTGAATGAATGTTGGGCTGCAATGCGCATGCAAGATCAGCAGGTTAGGATGAAAGGGGAAAATCATGTGTGCTGGTGTAGGATAATGTTAGGTTGTTCTGGTTAGTAAATCAGCCACTCTGCTGTGGAAAATTGTGGATGCGCAGGGAACACCGGGCTGAGAGGTAATGGAAATGGGAGGTCGGAGGGAGGATGGTGTGAGAACCCAAAAGGAGTATGGAGAAGATACAAGTGGGGGAATGCTGAAGTGAAACGAGAGTGATGGAAACAGAGTAGGAGGGAGGAGAGGGTGGAAGTGACGAAACTTACATGCAACAGCCTTGGTAAGAGGAAGAAGCACCCAGTAATGAGTATGAGCACAAGTGCAGAAGAGTAACACTAAGGTGACAAACGAGTGAGCAGCATGGAAATTGGATCTGGGGGGGGGAGGAGCGTGTGAGAGTGAAGAGACTTACAAGAACCAGCCGGTGATGAGAGGAAGACATACCCAAAAAGGAGTATGGGCAACATTATAGTAGGGGGATGCTGAAGTGAAACGAGAGAGGTGGAAAGAGAAGTCAGGAAACCGAGGTGGGCGAATACGAGGGAGGAGAGGGTGGAAATGACGAAACTTACATGCAACTGCCTTGGTAAGAGGAGGAAGCACCCAGTAATGAGTATGAGCACAAGTGCAGAAGAGTAACACTAAGGTGAAAACCGAATGAGCAGCACGGAAGTAGGATGTGGGGGGGAGGAGAGTGTGAGAGTGATGAGACTTACAAGCACCAGCCGGTGCAAACACATGAGGAAGATAACCCAAAAAGGACTACGGACAAGATACAAGTAGGGGGATGCTGAAGTGAAATGAGAGAGATGGAAAGAGAGGTCAGGAAGCCGAGTAGGAGGGAGGAGAGGGTGGTAATGACGAAACTTACTTGCAACAGCCTTGGTAAGAGGAGGAAGCACCCAGAAAGGAGTATGAGCACAAGTGCAGAAGAGTAACACTAAGGTGACAAAAGAATGAGCACCATGGAAATCGGATGTGGGGGGGAGGAGAGTGTGAGAGTGATGAGACTTACAAGCATCAGCCGGTGATGAGAGGAGGACATACGCAGAATGGAGTATGAGCAAGATACAAGTAGGGGGACGCTGAAGCGAGAAGAGAGAGATAGAAAGAGAAGTCAGGAAACTGAGGTGGGCGAACAGGACGGAGGAGAGAGGGTGGAAGTGACGAAACTTACTTGCAAAAGTCTTGGTAAGAGGAGGAAGCACCCGGTAATGAGTATGAGCACAAGTGCAGAAGAGTAACACTCAGGTGAAAAACGAGAGGTGGTGGAACGAGCAGTCGATGAGAGGTTGAGAATGAGGAGACTTACCTGCACCAGTTGATAAGAGAATGTGGGTGGTGGGGGCATGAGTGTGTGCAAAAAGGCAAATTACGCATGGTTTCAAACATTTGGATGACAGAAACAGAGAGAATATAAAAGAGGAGACATGGGAGGAAGCGAACGTGAGAAACTGATTCTTCGAAAAGGTATAATGGGTGGAGAGAGCAAGGCTAAGCAAAACAAGGTGATGTAATTGGAGGGAGTATCACCACTATCCAAGGGCATGCTCCAGGGAATGGAGTAGAGTAAGGAATTGTTTACAAGAGAACAACTTGAGGGGTTGTTGCATGCTAGCAAAAAAAACAGGCAACATGTAAGTGGAGGGGTTTAGGATGAAGTCAAGGGATGAAAGCACACGGAGAGGTGGCGAGGTAGTGCATGTAAACGCAAAACGGTGGATGTGGTGTGGTGGTGGATTGTTGGATAAAATGGGAACGGGCCTTAGAAGTGTAGTAGAGTGGAGAAAAGATAATGAAGAGTATACTATGCATGGGGTAGATAGGGATGAAGGACAGAGCCGTACCAAACAAGACATGGGGTGAGAGGAGTGCTTGGCCTCAGAGAATTGGTGTTTTGTGTGAAAACAGAGCTAGGGAGTAGGGAGGACATGGTGGGAAGAGTGAGTGTGAAGGAGCAACTTACACGTGGTCTAGTGGGAGTGAATGTGATCCATGAGAAAAACAGCAAGCACAAATGCGTGGATCGTGAGGGGATATTTGCAACCAGTGGATTCGGATGATGGCATGAGAATAGCCGAACATGAGTGTGGCTTTGCAGGGGGGAGTGTGGGATAGGGGTGCCTCATTTGCACTGAATAGGTGCGGTATTTGGTTAATGTGAAAAGTCCACGCAGAACAGAAAAGTGGTAAACATCCCAAGAGGGCATCTCGCATGTCAGAAGGAGGGGGAGGAGGAGGAGGAGGAGGAGGAGGAGGAGGAGGAGGAGGAGGAGGAGGAGGAGGAGGAGGAGGAGGAGGAGGAGGAGGAGGAGGAGGGAGGAGGAGGAGGAGGAGAAGGAGGAGGAGGAGGAGGAGGAGGAGGAGGAGGAGGAGGAGGAGGAGGAGGAGGAGGAGGAGGAGGAGGAGGAGGAGGAAGAGGAGGAGGAGGAGGAGGAGGATGCAGAAGGAGTAGTGGTGGCAGCAGCAAGGGATGTGACAGGGGCAAGTTGGGGGGGGTGTATCCAGTCTGGTGGAGGTAGATTGGCAATGCTGCCCATTGCTATGAACCCCGATGATCCCATGGGTGAAATGCTGGCCAGAGCTTCTGCTGTGGCACAAGGGGCTGCCCTGCGTTCCGGCTCCTTCTGATGTCTCTGCTGCAGCTACTAATTCAGCCACCAGGGGTCAAGGTAGATGAGACAATCAGCATGTGAGGGGAGGTTTTGGTGGTGATACGGGGGATGGGCGGGAGGAGGGGGATGAGGGGAGAACGAGAATAAAGGGAGGCGAAGGTTGGGGATTTGAAGTTGAGAACAGCGACAGTGTGGCACGCATATGTTTCCTCTTCTCCCCCCTTCTCCCCCTCCCTTCACCCCCACCCCCCACTGCTGCACCCAATCTGTTTTCGTTCTCCTCCGTACGTTGGAACTTTGCCTCTCACCTCCATCATCCCTGGCCTCTCCCCCACCCCCTACCAACCCTCCCCCCCCCTCTCTCTCTCCCTCTCTCGCCCTCATAAATGCAGGTGAATAAGGGGCCGATGCAGGCCAACCACCTGTGCAACAGCTGAAGCACCAAGGATTCTTCTTTTGCTGCCAGTTTTCGTGCACTTTGATCTTGTTGATTTGATGTGCTCAAGCTACAGTACCATCTGCTATGTCACTTCTCCCCAATTAAATACCCTCCCTCCACTCAAGCTATAAGTTTGTGATAGGGAGTATTGCAGTATCTGTCAAGAGACACGCTAGGGTTGCCTTTGAGATCCTTGGGAAAGGGTCACAGGTGCAGAGCCTCGGAGGTTATGGTCGCACATACCCGCTACTTAAGAAGCCCTTTTAACTCGGTAGTTTGTTATTGAGTTATGACATGGTATTGGAGCCGAGTGACTCGGGTTCAATTCCTAGTGGGCACTGCTGGAAGTGCCAACGATGCTGATGTGCTTGTGTCTTCCGCCTATCCCATCGAGGGGGGGTGTCAAGAGACACGCTAGGGTTGCCCTTGGGATCCTCGGAAAAGGGCCACACATGCAGATACCCGCACTTACCCGCTACTTAACAAGCCATTTGAACTTAGTAGTTGGTGACTGAGTTCTTATGCTATCTTTCAACTTGGAACAAACTGTCTTCTAACTATCCCCCAGGTATCTTTTGGTCTGTTTACGGGATAGCCATTCGAGCGGGTCAGGTACAGGATATCGTTGAGCACTACGAGTCACACTAGGATTAACAACCACTCTCTATTGCAGTATAGCTGGTCGTGGCAAGCCCAGTATTATCCCACATCCCAGGCCATCCCAAAGAAGCTTCTTCCCATAAAAATGCTCTCCTCATATTGTACCCCGTCACCCCCAATTTCACTTAAAATTATTTCAACTATGTTATGCAAAACATTATTGAATTGTACAATACCTTGCAAGCGATGTATTTTTGCAGAGGTCTTGATGTTTCTCTCGTTTTTCTTTTCCTGAGAGCAGCTCACGTGGCTGGCGTTCGTCAACAGGGTCAGCGACTGCCCTGATTCGCCAGACTCGCCCTGTTGGTGAGATTTTTGGCGCCCTGCTGGCATGCCACGCCACCCATAAGCCACGCCACCTTGGACATGTTGATAGGAGGGTAACCGACTTTCCCGAGTCACAAACATGCGACGTGCACTTTCAGCAGATTGATTCGAAGGTTGTATCAATTTCGCCATCGCCTAGGCATTTCGCTGGCGTCACCTCCAAGCTCACCTCGCCTCGATTCAGGCAACAAGCGAAGGACCTCCCTCTTAGTACACCTCATTTCCCCTCTTTTGCACAACAGCTGGTGATTCCTCCTGTTTATTTTGCGCTAGCTTCTTGCCTCCAGACTAGTACTGCTAGATTTCTCATCTCGCCGGTGCCTGAAGTCGCCTCATTTCTTGCGCGCCTGTCCTTAGAAACATCAATTTCATGTTTTACGTTAACAGATATATCGACCCTTCACGCCGCCTGTTTCCGCAGCATACTGAGCCGCATCGCACACAGCCTTTTGAATTATACTAAAAACAAGGCCGGGCTTCCATCCCCCGCTGTGGAAGCGCGCTCACCATGGGACGTCCCATCAGCCGCATTTGGCTCGGCGCGCTAATCCTGCTGACGTGTCTCGCGGCTGCGGTTCCTCCCGTCCGCTGTCAGCCCTACGCCGCCTCCCAAGGTGCGTCCGCGCAGACGCCGCTGCCTGGTCGCTGTGTGTGTGGTACCAGACCGTCGCACTTGTTGCAGGTTGGCTATACGAAGCCTTGCAACCTTTGTTGGCTTGCGATTTTCATATTTTACAGTTTCGACAAGGACCCAGTTCATCCAAACAACCAGGCTTACTAGAGAGCGTGAAGCATACTTGAGAAAAAAAAAAAAAAAAACATCCAGGTCCCAAACTTGGTCCCCAATTGGTGCTTGGTCGAGTAAACTGAGTCTGGCCTCTTTGAGCGCTTCAGAATTTCAACAATTTGTTATAATTTGGGGTCCCGAACGCAGCTGCCACTCATGTTTAAAGACCCCATATGCTAGCAGCACATTTCTCGTGCTCCCCATCATGGGTTGTCTGGCTGTTGAGCCGTCCGGTTGTTTTCATGTACGCAGCACTTGACAGTTGGAACAGCACCACCCTACACCATCCTATTTCCCCCTCCATGGCCGGACTGAGGGGGGCAAATCGGAGCAGCTGGGGAGGTGGGACTTGAAGACAGCCGCTTGGTTTGTTCTCCCTTCCCTTATCCACATCCCCATGCTCCCTTATTTGTCTCCCTCTCCCTCCTGTCCCTCCCTTTCCCTCATGCTGGTACCTCCTGCACCTCTCCCCCATTCCACTTCCTCTAGTGCAACTCCTGCTGGGCTTGCAGAAGGCGTGGGGGCGGACTTTCGCTGGGTGGGTAGCTGGAGGGGACTGCAGCACTGCCGAGCATGTGAATTGTGATGAACACGGCATGGTAACCAGCATGTGAGTGCACCAGCGGCCCCTGCTTGGCATGTGAGTGCACCAGCCCTTGCTTGGCATGTCGTTGCATGCCAATCCAGAAAAATCACTCTCCTTCTCCTCTTTTCTCCTTCGTTATCCTCCTTGTCTCGCGTTAACCAAATCCACACTTCTTCAGGGATCTAGCCTTCCAAGACTTAACCGGACCCATCCCATCAACGATCGGCAGCATGGTCAGCCTGAGCTACCTGTGAGCAACAGCTAATCCGGCATGGTTATGACCACGCACGCTTGGCCCGACAAAACCGCTTGTTTCTAAAATGGTGCTTGAGAAATAGACGAGTAGTAAGCAGATGTGCCTCAGGCGCAAACTTACTCGTCACTTGTGTCCTCGTTTCATTGCCTCGCTTTCTTCTTGCTCCTTGTCACCTTGTAAGAAATCGAGTTGAATATAGAAGTGTGTTGGAAGGGATGAGGAGAAAAGACGAGATGGATTTCCAGTGGGGATGTCCTGAAAAGCGGAACGGTGGATTGGATCTTTTGAGGGATCGCATTTGGGTGAGGTCAGGAATAGGTGTTACACCCAATTAACAGATTCGGACGCAGCAACGTAACTCTAACGTCCTTGTCCCTTGGCTTGCCTCGTGTCTGTTTTTCCCTTTCCTTCTATTGCCATTCCTTATCCCTAGATGCTTACGAGTTCGCTGTTATGCATGTCACGTTTGTTTGGCACTGTGATTGAATAGCCTTGAAGGACCCACGGCTGTTTCCTCTCACACGTTCTTGACCCTGATTGAGTAACTCTTCCTTGTTCTCAAACCATCCTTTACTCTCTCGTCGTGCCCTTTCGATGGGCTCCAGAGATCTCTATGGGAACAATCTTAAGGGCTCAGTACCGTCAGGCATTGCCAATCTCCATAAGTTGTGCCATTTGTAAGGGTTGCCAGTTTTCATGAGAATAGTGCCTCTTAATCACTCTGGTTGTGACCAGTGGTGGTGCCTTTAGTGACCATTTCGCCTTACCTTTTCGTATTGTTTCCGTTACATTCGGTTTTGGGCAGACAAAATTTTCTGTGCACGATATTAGATGGATTTTTGTGCACTGGGTTGCACCCAGTGGGATGTGTGGCCATTGTCACTAGAATGCATCACTATGTCATGCCTTTTCATCCCCCCCCTTCATCCACTCCCCCCCTCCTCCGCTTCAATCCATTAACCCCTCATGCACCATCAGGAATATGGGATTGAATTCCTTGACTGGTTCTATTCCATCTACCATTAGCAGCATGAGCCGCCTAACTCTCCTGTCAGTACCATGGGAACAAAACTGAACCTCCATGTTTGGATTGACTGACTGTAGTTCGTAATATTATGTGAATCATAGTGCAGCTTTCTACCAACAGTATGTTTGGGCCTACTACTATCACGCGACCTCCGTGTGTTTCATTGTCAGCTTGAGTGAAGGCATCTCGTGATTAGTAACAAGAATCCTTTAAATCCGTTGCTACTGCTAATGGATGCAGGAGTCTAAGCTCAAACTTCATCTCGCAGACCATCCCAGGGTCCCTTGCGAACCTCAACAACTTGAAGGCATTGTACGCGCTCCTATTCGGATAAGTGTTAGAGAAAGGTACGAAAGGAGAGGGCTTACCTAAGGTGACACCCAGGGAGTGCTAATTTCCAGCTAAGTGTTGTCATTTTCATTAGGTAAGCCCAATTCACGCTAAGCCAAAGGTAAGCCCAACCTTTGCAAAGCTGCCTTTTGCTTCTTCTCCCCACCAGATACCTTTACAACAACAGTTTAAGCGGCAGCATCCCTGAATCCATAAGCAAGCTCGTCATGGTCTCAGTACTGTATGTTCTCATCTCACTCTATCAGAGTGCGAGCCATAGCCATTGCTACGTGACCTTCATGTGAGATATGATAGTGTCTTACCAAGTTCCCTCTGGACGCTAGCTGTCCTGAAACCTTATCAATTCGAGGGGGATTAATGCATTCCAATGACCACGGATTGTGCAATACGGCCTTCTGATATTCTCACGTTTCTTCTCCTCACCAGATCGCTGTTTAAAAACCACTTAAGCGGCAACATTCCTGAATCCCTCAGCAAGCTCGTAAATCTGACATTTCTGTATGTTCTCATCTCCTCTTGCAAACAAACGAGCCGTAACCATACCATGTGGCTTTCATATTGTATTGTTATAAACCTTTCACAAATTCTTTCGGATACACTCGGTTTTGAAGATTGATTGAGGAAGAATTTGCTTAGCGGTAGAGTTATAAGCAGGACATTTATAGCCTTGCTATAGGAAAACATGGAAAACATGTGAAACAGGATGAAGAACTTCAGGCATTGTTGGGGGATCATTGGCATGGTCATCCTTTTATTAATGAACGTAGAAATTAGAATAATTCATTTCTAGCTTTCAAGGCGTTATGTCCTTCAGTGCTGCTTCGGTGTATGTCTCGTGTCTGCGTGTTTGTGTGCGTGCGTGGGGAAAAGGGGGGGGGGGGGGGGGGGAGGGGCGGTGGTTCTGAGGGCGGTGGGTGGTTATTTGCGTTGCAGGGATGTCAGCCAAAACAATCTTACTGGCCACCTCCCTCCAACAATGGGCAGCCTTACCCGTCTTTCATATCTGTACGTCAATCCATTATCACCACTGGTACACATGTGGCACACCAGTCCCATCCGACATGCAAGGATCGTTGTGCCATAGGATTCCATATGAGAATTAAATCCAAATCCTCTTATTTCATCAGTCTTAAAAATCACTCCCTGTGCACATGCACGTTCGAAGTGATGTCATCCTGGGGTATTGCAATGGCCTTATGCAATGGAAACCTGAGGTGACTCTTCCACTCTAGCCTTATGCAACGGGACTTGGGGAGCGGTTTTCAAGTAAAGAGATTTTCAGGAGGATGAAATCTCAATCCTTTTTAAGCAGTGTGAGCAACACTCTCTGTGCACATGCAGAATCAGATCTCACACAGCAATCACATGCCCACCGGACTACAGCACCTGCATGGTCACACAGGACAATTCAACTGCTTTCTGCCAGCAGTGCCCCTCCTTTTGCACAATTTGTGGCAAGTCACGACCCGGTGAGACTCAATCTCCTTTGGCCCCGCACCACTCGGTGAGACACAATGTCTTCTGGCAATTCACCAAGTTATTGCCTTCTCATGTTATGCACCAAGAATCCACACAGCAACTCATTAACCCCTTATATATATGTTGCATCTGTTGCACATTCACCCATCACTTTCACTAGTCGCTATCATTCACCAGTATCTGTTTCAGACGCTTTCCTTCCCCTCCCCACTCCTTCCCGCCCCTCCCTATTCAACCCCCCAACACCCCCCTTCCAACCTACAGCACCCCCGTCCCTATCTCCACCCCAATCTTCCATCACCATCCCCACGCCCACTCCACCCACCACGCCCTCTCCACCTCCTCCCACTTCCATTCCCAGTCAACCCGCAGCCTCTCCCTCAAAGTCTGGAGGCGGCCTGTCAGTGGGTGCCATAGCTGGCATGGCTGCTGCAGGGGTTGTGGCCATCCTCGTGCTGCTGCTGCTAGGTCTGATGCTTTGCAAGCAATGGCGTACCAAAGGGGCTGAATCACGAGGCAATAGTATGACAGATGTGGAAAGCAAGGGTTTGGCAGCACATGAAGCACTCCAAGGCAAGATAGGTTTGATGCACACTGTCTATTTTCACCACCTTCCTCTCCATGCACACACCATAAATCTCACTATCGATTTCCACTTCCACTACCCTCCCTCTGAATACCCTGAACCGGTGCTACCAGATGAAGGATACAAGGCAGAGGAGAGGGACCCAGAAGCGGCGGCGGCAGCGGCAGCAGCGGCAGCAGTGGCAGCAGGAGCAGCAGCATCACGAGGGTGGGATGGAGGGGATTTGGTGGTGGATATGGAGGCAGTGAAGCCGCAAGTGTGCCGGAAGTTCACTCTGGAAGAGCTGGCAAACGCAACAGCGGATTGGGCCGAGGGCAACAGGATTGGCAGCGGCAGCTTTGGGGATGTATACAAGGGCGTGTCTCCATACGATCCTGATGAGATATGGGCTGTGAAGCGATCCAAGATACTGTCTAATGACTTTCTTACAGAGGTAACTAACTGTGGTAGTGCCCATGACTTCTTGCCTTCCACTGCTAATCAAGCTGCTCTTCATCCGTTTTTGAAGTATTTTTTCACTTTCTTTCCTAACACTCTTTCTCTTCCTCTGACCTATTGTCCTTTTCCCCTGTCTCAGGTGAACGAGATGGCATCAAAGCACCACCCGCACCTGGTGCGCCTGCTGGGCTACTGTGTAAACATCGATCTGAGCACGAGCCGCATGGAGCAACTGTTGGTGTATGAGTTCATGGCCAACCGAGACCTGGAGAGCTGGATTGGACCTGGTATTGCACCTCTCACCACACCCTTTAATGTTTTCATTCTCCCCTGCTTGTTTCTATCATTCTTCCTTGCACGTCTCACTACGTTGTTTGGTCAATTATTTTTCCTTTCTGTTTCTCTATAGCTCGTACGCGTCCCTAAATGCTAACTTGGGGTCTCAAACCTCCACTTGTCATTACATTCTCCCAATGAAATGAAATTTCCTCTTTTGTGGAACCAACCGATTAATTTACCTAAAACCATGCTTTCGACAAATGGGCCATGTTCGGTATTACTTATCTCTATTAGTGAATAACAATACCATCTTGTCCTTTTCCAGGTGCCCCACAGCATCTTTCGCTGTTGCAACGGCTGGACATTCTGATTGGAGTGGCAAAGGGGCTGCAGTACCTGCATGACTTTGGTATTGTGCATCGCGACATCAAGCCAGCCAACATTCTTATTGACACAAGAATGCAGGCATGTCATAACTCTGATAATTCCTTCATGCCCCTTAACTCACCAGAGCGATGTTTCTTTGTTGCTAACATGCTGTGACTCGATGAAAAACATGGTGGTTCTACTGTGCATTGGTACGCTTGTGGTTCGTGGCCAGGCCAAGATTGCAGACTTTGGGCTTGTGAAACTCACTGGGGGCACCACTATGGGCACGTCTATGGCTGCCACTCGAGTAATGGGAACACCCGGCTATGTGGATCCAGCCTACTATAAGTCACACAAGGCCACTACAGCAGCAGACGTCTACAGGTGAGTTGAGAGGTGCTGCATGCTTATTGTGTGTGTTTACAGCTAGCTCATGTTTGTTCTGGTGAAAGAAATCTTCTGTCCTTCATGAACATGTCCTGATGAAGGTTACCTACCTTCACTCTTGTTTCCAGTCCACTTGTTTTGCTTGCTTGTTTGGTATTGGCAGCTTTGGAGTGGTGATGCTGGTGGTCATCTCAGCACGCAAGGCCTTGCACGTGGAAGAGGACAGCCAGATCAACCTGAGGCAATGGGTGAGGCACAATACGGAGCAACCCGCTTGCCAGATCCTCAAGGTTTCGTTCTTATGTCCACCAATTTCCCCCAACTTTTCCTCATGCGATGTTGTCGAGCCTCCGCTATGGACATTCTCCACACGGGGTTGTGTGTTCCCGTTGCAACCCTGGCAGGTCGCCCCATTCGTGGAGTCCGGTGCCGTGGCAGTGTTCAAGGACTCTTACTTGGACGCACCAAATGATTTGGTGCTGCGCTTGGCTTGCCTTGCCCTCTCCTGCACGGCCATGCCTGCGGCCTCCCGCCCCTCTATGAGCCAATTACTGGTAGAGCTGGTGAAGGTCAAGCAGGAGATGTTTGGGGCGCAAGTGAACAAGGCTGTATCAACCATCTTCATGGACACTGGGAGTTCGGTTAGCAGCTCCTCCGGCTTCACTGCTGAGATGGCCCGTGCGGAGCGCGAGGGCATGCAGAGTTGCTCCTCCACCAGCATGTCCTAGGAGGGCAATTTTTTATATTAATTTATTTACTTGAACATTTGCTTAGTAACCTTTTTATGACAACCTAGAGGTTTGAGGGTTCAGAGGCTTCTACCCATTAGAATTTTGGTATGAAGGACAAGTCGAGTTATTCATTATTTCCACCTGATTGCTGGAGCTGATGAAAAGGCAAAAAAGGCAAAGCTGGAGCTGACTTGAAACTAGTTTATTTATGTTCGTTCAGGAAGAAAAGGTTCTTGCCTCACTGCAGTTACAGGGAAACATCAGTTTATTGATAAGCAAGGAGAGTCAGGGTTAAAACCTGCGGCCCAAATTGTTCAAATGCACTGTGTAAGAAATCTGGGCGTGCTGTTTTACGAAACGCATGGGAAAATCGCGAGGGTGTTATTCCTCGTGAACTGCAAAGTGTTCGTGCACCGTCAGATTCAATCCCAAGATTTTGGACGGTTGAGATTGAGCCCCGAATTACTGGTGGTGCTTTGGAAAGAAGAGTTTGCATGCGGACCGTCAGATACAGATCTGTGAAAAATGGATGGTCGAAAAACGTGCTACACATGGAGTTCCAAATTGCAGCACGCAGTGCACTTGAAAGGCACCCCCAGAGTGGAGAGACTCACGTTACCTCACTCTACACCCACGAAAGCGCTACTTTCCAACGCAGTGCGTTTGAAGGCCGCGCCTCGCAATTTGGGCCACGGGTATTAAGGGGAATTCATTTCTAGAGCTCTAAAACCATGTATACAAGGGAGAAGAAAAGGATGAACTGAAACCTGGTTCTTCATGTATTGTTTGAGTTATTCTCTTAGCCACGATAAGAGAAACCCTCCGTTCAATCATTTATACTAGACTTCTCGAGGATGAAGAACAGCTCTTTTACAAGCGCCACAAGGGGACGTGTTGATGGGAGATGGTTTTCTGGTGTGGCTGACAAACAATCCAGAGTCTTGAAAACACCCTCTTACAGTATCTATGTGGTTGAGTGTGTGTGTGTATTGTGTGTGTGTATTGTGTGTGTGTATGTGTATGTGTGTGTGTGTGTGTGTGTATTGTATGTGTGTATGTGTATGTGTGTGTGTGTGTATGTGTGTGTGTTTGTGTGTTTGTGCGTGTGTGCATCCATGTGTGTGCATGTGTGTGTACGTTTTATTTGCACCTTTTTTAATCAAACCAACCTCACCGGCCACCGCCCTACAATAATAAGCAGCCTTGCCCGTCTTGCACTCCTGTACATGAACAATCCGAAACGATCCGAAACAAATGCTCGCTCATGACTCTCACACTCTAGACTCATAAAACGACAACCTTGGGGTCCAGCATTTGTCATGTGATGAGATTCAATAAGATAGTAAGAATTCACTCCTCTTATTATAAAAGTTTGATCAATGCTGCCTGTGCAAATGCAGGAACATAACTGAAAATACTATCACATGCCCAAAAATTTACAGCAGCTATGTGGTCCCATAGACTGCTTCAAGTGCTTTCTGCCATCACTTTGTGTTTGTAATGGTGTCCAGTTCCCCCCAACAATAGGCAGCCTTATCCGACTTGCAGTCCTGTAAGACAGCTACAACAGCACCACTACAAATTTCACAACTCTTACCCTCTCGCCCCATCCAATGGCAACCCTCGGGTGCAGCATTTCTTGCATAATGACTAGATTCACCATTGGGATGAAATCTCAATGGATAAACACTCCCTATACACGTTTCAGGAACATATATGGAACTGCAATCACATGCCCACGAAAATGCAGCGGCTGTGTGGCCCCACAGAATACTTCAAGCGCTTTCTGCCTATAATGCCCTTCCTTCTGCTCCACATGTGCCAAGTCACCACCTGATGAGACAATTTCTATAGGAAAATCAGCAACATAATGGCTTCTCGTGTTTTGCATGTAACATTTGCACAGAAATCCCTTAACCCATTTCATATGCTACCCCTGATGAACTTTCAAGCATATCACAACAGTATTTGTTCCAACTCTTCAATGCTGTCCTTCCCTGCACCTCCCCTTGCATCCCCTACAGTATCGAATCCGTACCATCCCCCCCTCCCCTCCCCCCCCACCCCTTCCCCCCCTCCCTCCCTTCTTTTTATGACATACAGCACCCCCATCTCCATCCCCCAAAACGCTCCTTCCCCTCTCCACCCCCACCTTCCATCACCATTCCCACAACCTCTCCTGCCCCCACACCCTCCCACTCTCCAGCCACCACACCCTCTCCACCTCCTCCCAGTTCCACTCCTAGCCAACCAGCAATCAATCCCTCCCAATCTGTCAGTAGGCGCCATAGCTGGCATTGCTGCCGCTCGCGGTGTGGCTGTACATGTGCTGCTGCTGCTGCTGAGTCTGAGGGTGCGCAAGCAATGGAGCACAAAAGGGGCAGCAGCAAGCGGAGATGCCGGAACAGATATGGATGTCAAGGACTTGGCAGTATAAAGTGTACTCCAAGCCAAGACCATTCTAATACACACAGTTGAACGCTCCCAACTGAGCACATCCTCGACTCTTACTATCCTTGCTTTCTCTCTCTCTCTTCCTTCAATGGATTTTGTTTTTTAGAATGCCAAGGCATGCCGTTAGGGTAAGGCATGCCCTAGCAAGCAATAACCCCTCAGGTCCCTTAAGAGAGCTTCGTTGTGGCTCTAACACGTGGTACTAGTCACCAGTATCAATGAGCATCCATGGAACTGGAACTGGCTTGGTACCAGCCATGAGCTCTGGGGCTCGAAAAAAGAAAGAGCGGTTCTATCCTCTGTGACGAGGGGGGCAATGGCGTCGGTGTTGAGGTCTTGCTTCTAGATCGGGTTGGTAACGGTGACGTTGCCAACTCACATGTCCCTAGTGTGAGGGTGGCGAATCGCTAGGTCAGCATTCTCTCACAGCTGACCGCGAGGCTCCTTGTGTTTCTGCAGATGTGAGGGCTGCATGATGGAACCAGCGTCACGGCCACTGCAGGGACACATTTGCCCTGCAAGGCATAGTGAATGTCGGCCCACCCCGACCCCATACCACACTAGAGGATGTGGTCTCGAAAGCGGGGCTCAGGGATTTCTGGGGCTTTGTGGCAGTCAAGGATGAAACACGCAAGGCACCGGCTGAGGTAGACCAAGACCCTGAATAACTGGGTGGGGGAGGTGTGATGACGAACCTAGAGTGAGGTGTTAAGCATGCATGCAGCTGACGGATTCATCCGTAGGCAGTCGACTGGTACATATCAAAACTCCGCCTGTTGAGTTGTGTGCAATTGAAAGCACCCATTAGGATGTGTTAACTTGTGACACAGTAACTGTATGCATCAATATGTTATACTATTTTCATCTCCCCCCTTCGTTCCCTCCCCCCCCCCCCCTCCCCCCCCCCCACTCTTTCGACTCGTCAATCACTTCACTCTACCTGTGGAACTCTTTGCATGAACAATGAGGAGTCTGAGTAGAAATGCATTGACTGTGTCTATTCCATCTACCATCGATAGCATGACCAACTTCAAAATTTTGGAAGCATCATGACAAATAAAATGTCTCTTTAATGGGTAAAGTCAACGGAGCTGACCTTGCCTTGCAACTTCCATGTTTGGCATATTTGGCAAAAAAAAAACCCACGCATGTTTTATGTGTGGTCCTCTGTCTACGTGACTGGAAAGGTAACTCGTGAGTAGCTGCAAGAAAATCTTTGCCATCTTCTTATTAACCCTTTCTCTTTGATCCAAAGCTAATTTTTCTGGATGCAGGGATGCAAGCTCGAACTTCACCTCACAGACCATCCCGAATTCGATTGGGGACTTAGTCGATTTGAAGAGTTTGTACGTGACCACACTTTGAAATGTTACTCAAGTGTACACAAGAAAGGGCTTACATAAGGCAACACCCATAGAAAGTTGATGCCTTTGCATTCTATCAGCTCCATGCTCTTCTACAGCATCAAGTTTTTGTGTTAAACTGTCCCCCTTTGCTGTCTAAAGGTATTGCTGCAAATGATGTGGAAAACAAACGCTGCTCATGCTTCCCCCTCCCCACTTCCCCTCCCTCATTTCCTTCCCTCCTTCCCTCCCTCCCTCCCTCCCTCCCCCCCCCACCTTTTCCATCCCCTTTGTCTCTCGTCACTCGTTCCGTCCCTCATCTCTCGTCTCGTCTCTTGTCTCTTGACTTACCTCTCAGCCAGTCTCTCGTCTCTTCTCCTATTACTCGTTCCTCATCTCTTATTGGGTCTCTCGTCTCATCTTGTCGTTCATTTTCCTTGTTCACCACGCAGAGGCATCCCTGGAGCAGGGAAACCCAGAAACAGAGGCAACACCACTTTTGGCAGCAGCTATGAGGTGGCTGAGAGGTGCTGAGAGGCAACTCCTCTGCTGCCCAAATGCTGTTAGCAACCACCTCGTCTGACATCATCTACCTTATGTTTATCCCCTTTGGGTTGTTTTTCTTCCCATCAGGGCTAAATTTATACTAGGTCTGTTGCAGAAATCTGCATCTTTTCAACCACCCTAGCATCCAACCTTTTGTTACTGGATCTTAATCCCCTGCCTGGCCCTACTTTTCACCGAAGTTGCCGAGTGGCTTGTTCATTGTGAAGAAATGTTATGTTCGCATGCTAATGCATGAAGATTGCCCAAGAGTTCGAACACGGCAGTGGCTCTGCCTGGCTTAGGGAAGACATGTAATTTGCGTGTTTGAAGCTGTCGTTATCCCACAGCAAACCAGTAACTTGCCACACTGCCATGCCCCATAATATTATACCCTCAGCCCTTCATTGCTTTTTATCGACCAACCATCAACCTGCCTTTATTTTCTGGTTCTTACATGATGGATCTATCCGGCCCTTTTGTTCATTGATTTCTTCCAACCTGGAGTTGTTCGAATTCACTTGAGATAGCAAGGCCCCATATTGGTTTTAGGGAGATTGATTGCTCAGGGTCGTCCATGTGAGAACTAATGTTTTCCAGGGTCGGGTTCTTGGCGTGGGGTGTTTTGTCATGCAAACAAAATGAATAAATAAAAAAACAAGCAAACAAACAAAATAAATAAATAAACAAACAAGCAAACAAGGCTGATTAGGCGTTCAGCCTAATCAGGCCTACATTTTGGGGTTTTCTGATTCTTGGTTCGGACTTGTCTGTGTACATGTCGCCTCAAACTACCGACATCGTT